GGGCCAACGGAAGATAAAAGGCTGCCGGGAGCGAGCGGGTGGCCGGGAGCCTCGCCGTCAGCCATGCTCTGCCACGGCGCCCGGGCAGCACTGGCACGGCGCATCGGCTCTCGCTGGGACGGAGGGACTCGGTCCCACTCGTGCCACCCCAACCCCGGACCCCCCGCCAGGGTCCCACAGCAGGGAAACTCTCTCCCAGATTGAATCCCCTGCGCTGAAACAAGGGGTTTATTTTAGTTTTTAAAAGCAATGGCTTTTTTTTTTAATGAGAAAATGCCTTTCTCCAATGAACGGTTGAATTTTGCACGAAAAGTGATTTTTAGAGACAAGGAGATTCCTGCTTGTTCACACTTCTCATTCCCGGGGGAGAAAAAGGGAAGGATCAACAATAAATAGGTTAAGTGAAGGGGAAAAGGGATAAACCTTGGGGGAAAAAACCAACGCCACAACAACAAAGGAAAAGTTTAAAAGGTGCAGATACGAGGGCACAGTGCTTTCCAGCTCAGCTCCTACGGAGAAACCAAGCAACTGTGTTTGGGTTTCTCTGTTTGAGAGAGGGGCAAGAAAGGAGTGTAAAAAGCCAGAGCAACAAGGGAATAAAAATCACCTTTCTGGGGAAGAAAAAAAAAAAAAAAGGCAAAAAAAAGCCATTTCTCCTCCAGACGCATCCAGCCCCAACTCTCCCCAGCACCTTCCCGAGGCGCTGTACTGTGACAGACTAAGTAAGAGCCCGGTCGCAGGGTCTTCTCTCCCCCTCCGTGCTCATCCACCCCAAATCAGCCCTGAGACCTCCCTTCCCCACTTTCTGGTGGCTCCTGGGCAGGATACCGCATAGGCTGCGCCCTTGCAGGGGGGCTGCTGCTGTCACCCCCTCCCGGGACATCCCCGGCACCTTCAGGGGACTCGGGGACCACAGAAATAGGGTGGAGTGGGCGGGGGGGCTAAGGCTGTTCGACACACACACACACACCCCCCCACGTCCAAAGGGAAGGGAGCTGAGCTCCCGCCAGGGAAGGGGAAAGCCTATTCCCATGGGGTTGCTGCCACCCCGGCGAGCACGGGGGGCCACGGGGACTTCACACCAGCCACACACGTGGTCGAGGCTTGTGATTGTTCAAACGATGCCAGGAGCCATGGCCGGCGAGCTTTGGTGCCTTGCAGCTGGCATTCCCCCATGCCAGGGTCCGAAAAGCATCAGCTGGGGGCTGAGCATCCCAGAGAGCAGGGCGAGGGGTGGTGGCTCCGAAACGCCGCTTGGAAAACACCTTCCCCAAGGGCACCAGGTCTAGAGAGCTGGCATAAAACATCCTCCAGTTGTGAGAAAACTTTGCCCTGAGCAGGATGAGGCCCTTAATAAACACAGGGAAAGCAGTGTGGGATAGGGATCAGCCAGGTTTTAACAACCGCCGGCTTCCGGCAGCATAAACGCGCAACAAATACGAACGGTTTCTATCGATGGGAGACTTTGGACCGACGTCCAGGTCCTCCCGAGGAGACGCTTGTGCTGAACAAGGGAAAGTTCAGCTCTCACAGCAAGGGGACGGGACAGGCAGAAACGTTGAGCCCTTGGAAAAGCAAACAAGCGGGAACAGCTCGGGCTTTGCCAGGAGCATCTCCCCGCCGTGGCTTTGCTTTCCAGGGAAGCCGTGCTGCTGCTGGAGCAGATACCAGGGACAGGATGGGCTCCTAGGTGATGCCAGGGAGATGGAGTACATCTCCACCAAGCCTTGCAGAACCACGCATGGAAATTGAAACCCACCACGCAACAAAAGCTGGATGCTCGCAGCTGAGGGCGGGGGTCCCGGGGTGCGAGGGGCACAGGCAGCAGGGTTGCACCGTGCAAAGGCAGGCGTGGGGCTGGCTCTGCAGTGCCATCTTTCCATCTTTGGAGGAGTTGGTAGCAACAACTGAAGCCCATCTTGGAAAGCAGCTAGACGATCACACTCCTCATCGTACAGCCTTGAGGAACGCTCTGGTATGTTATTATGAATATAAGAACTTTGGGCAGAAAATACTAGAGTTAATACCTGATGAAAGTCTAGCTGCTGAACTTATGCGACATTCAGATGCAAATTTAGGTATTAGGCTCAGGAGACAATTTTGGTTCCATTTATCTTGCTTAGAATTTGGGGACAATTGTGTTATTGAATTTATAATATCCCATGGAACCTGGATGAGAACTCCTGCTGCATATAGACCACTGAATGCACCCATTCTTTCATCCCGACCTGAGCACCGTCACAGACCAAGGAGAAGATCACCAAGAATTCCATCTAGATCTCCTAGAAGAAGCAGTTGTTCAAATTCCCTGCGCAGAAGATCTCCATCTCCCAAAAAGTGATCAGCCCACCTTACACATCCTTAAGGACTTTGGAGGCCTATATCACAATCCTGAATCAAAATTTAATAAGGACTGGAAAATTCCTCAATCTCCTTCTTTCTTAGAAGAAAATTGTAAACCAGCCACACCAGGTAGAAGGTGGTCCTTACTGCTACCTGCACACTTATATGTACGAAGTGCAACTTATTTGCCGTTATTTTGTGCCATCAAAAATAAATATGAGGCATCGTTACTTCATCTGGTCACGTGTGCTGACTACCTAGATAATCTTTTTGAGTCAGGTATTCTTTATAGAAAAGGCAGTAATAAGTCCTGGGAGCGTTGGGGAAAACTCTACGCTTTGGAGTGTAGCTTACCGCCTACGGATGGGAGGCGTAATAGGGCTATTAGCCCCTCAATTTCAAACGGAAAAAAATTGGTATCAACATCAACAAGGATACGAAGGAACTATTCCCGAGATTCCATCTCAGGAATGGGAACAAGACAGAAGATGGTATCTCAGGGAATCATGGGTACCTGATAAATCCCATGAACTTGGACTTGACTGGGGCAAGGACCCAACTGATACAAGATGCAGCAAAGGTCCTCACTGGACTAAAGAAGAAGGAACATCCTCCAGCACCACCTCAACCGCAAGTACTTCTGGGACAACCACCCCCATCCGTAGGGAATTGCCCGGGAACAGGGTGGATGTGCTAATGCAAATCCAGCAGGGTGCTCTGGCAGAAGAAGCGGGACTGGGGTCTCAAGATTCTTTACAGGTGCTGGATCCGGCAGCATTCCAGAAACTGAAGCAAGAAATGGGAGATGCAAGAAACGAGGAAGAATTACAAGCAGCGATCAACAGAGCAAATGTGGCATGGGTAAAGGTAAAACACACACACCCCCCCAAGGAGTTTCCAGTCACAAAACAAATTTGTAAGGCCTGTTGTGACATCCAGGAATGGTTTACCCCTACTGGCCTCTGGAACAGCATCCCGCAGTGCCACAGGGACATCCCTAGCGGTATCACAACAGGAGAGAGCGTCTGCACATATAGAACGTACACCTATCATAGTAAAATCAGAAATGTCCCCGTGGCTGGTCATATTGTTATCAGGGTTAACGGGGGCTGCTTTCTTGTGGCCAAAAGTCCTAGAAACACTACAGAAGCTAGACGGGTGGTGGACTTCTCTGTTTTCAAGGAAACCCCATAAAGTGTGCTGGCCTAAGCTTGCTTGCCCAAACCTCAGGGCATTGTCCCAGTTATTGCCCCGAGGAATGTCCTGGGCATCGTTGGATGTGTCTGCAGCTTTTTATCATATTCCTTTTAATCCTAATGCTCGTCACTTTGTTACTGTTGGGGTACCTGGATTATAAAGGTTATATACCTGTATGTCCCCCTCTACTAGATGGAGATTGTCCAGAGAATTGCATCTCAAATTAGTGCTGCAAGAAAACCCAGAGTTGTACGAACAGCAAACCTTGTTGCTGTTACAAAACCACAAACTGTTGTTGCACCCCACAATCATGGGCTTTAGGAATATTCCTATGAGGATTGGCCTTAGCCCATTTCTCTTGTCTTTATTATCAACATTACTTGTTCAGTATCATAGGAAGCAATTTGACCATATTTTTATTTTTGCTTACATGGATGATTTGGTGGTGGGGTGTAAAAACCCTATTCATCTTCATGCAGTGGTCTATCATATTGTTCATCATTCAATGTCACTGGGAGTAAGTATAAATAAAGATAAAAGAAAGTTTTCAGGAAAATATTTATATTTTCTTGGTTACCAACTGGGAAGTTTTGGAATTTTACCTAGTGATGATAAAATTTATAAATCAAAAGAGTTACTTTTCTCTCCGTCCCATCACCAGAGTGTGGGCTTGCAGCAACGGGGCCGGATGAACCCCACTCCTGGAAGCGGGGCGCACGCCGGGCTGTGCCTGCCCAGTGGTGATCGACCTGGCAGCGATTTCCCAAGGCAGAGCAGCTTTTTGTTTCAGGGATGGCCAAAGCCATCCACAGCACCCTTATCTGCCGCCGGCCCCGCGGGAAGGGAAATGACCTTGAGTCTACCAATGCCACCGGGCACTTTGCTCTGTATGCCCCCGCCACAGCCTCCAAGGAGGCCCCACCATGCTGCACCCATGGAGCCAGGCGTACCCCGACCAGCGCTGGTCTAAGGTCCCATTTTGTCCCCACATGCCACGCAATACTGAGGACAGCATATCTTGCTCGAGCGAGGTACAAGCGATAACGGCAGTTCTCCCGTGACCCGGCTACGCAGCCCACTTTCCTCCCATCGTTCCTTGGGTACAGAACCCCCTTCTGCGGGGGAAAGCTGACGCTGAGATGCTGAAGAGGGTTTGGGGAAGGGAGACCCTGTGAAGGGGGTGAAGGAGGGTCCGTGGTGGAGCTGAAAGGGGCTCCCAAACCAAGGGCGGTAGCTGAAGTCTCCTCTTTGCAATGCAAAGGAGGGGATGGGGCTTGCTGGTGGTTGGTGCGGGAGAACTGGGGAGCCAGACCCTGATCCCCCTGCCCAGCACTGGGTGGGGATGGGGATCGAGCACTCAGGGTTCATGGGAATGGTGAGGAAGGACACCCGGGTCCTCCTCTCACCAGTGAGCAGAGGGTGCAGGAGCCAGGAGGTGAAGCCCTGGACTGAGTTACAGAGTTTTGAGCTAAAAGGCAGGAAAGGCTCTGAACTTTGAGGAAATCTGGATCAGGTTGTGAAATAAATCTCAGCTCCCACCTCCCAAACCATCCCACCTCCCAAACCATCCCAGGCACTGCTGGCAGCCAGAGGCACCCCCAGCAGCGCTGGCTGAGCCCCAGGGGCTCGCACCCATCCTCAGACCTCACCAGTTGGTGGGGACCAGCCACCACTGGGTTGGGTCACAAGGGAGCCCCAGGAGCCACCCCGCATGGGTGACAGCCCAGCATCACAGCCCTGGTCACACCCCTGGCCGGGGTCCCATCCCTGGCCGGGGTGCCACAGCACGTCCCACCAAGGAGGTGGTGGCAGGCACGTGGGGCAGGGGAAGGGGGGGCCAGACCCTGGCTGGGTGTCGCTGAGCCTTGCTTTCCTCCTGCAGCAGCTTTTTTTCACCCTGCTGCAGCCCCCAAACTCATCCATCCACCCCCAAAGCAGTGGCTGGAGCACCCACCTCTCGCTGCGCCATGGTGGACATCCCCAAGTCTTCTCTGAATCTGCCTCCCTGGGGCAAGACCACGCCAGATTTGGGCCAGGAGCTCCTGGTTCAGCCTCGGTGCTGGTCGGGAGCCTTGTGGGAGACACACACTGGCCAGGGAAGGGGGACACCCCCCCCGCTTGCCTTTCACCACCAGCAGGAGACAAAGGTCTGCAAAGCTGCCGGAGCAACCCACCGCCTCGCCTTCCCTGCTCCCCCACCGAAACCCAAAACCACCTATTTTTGTCTTTTCCTTTCTCCTCCTCGGGAGGTTTCCAGCCATCGAATCCTTCCTGGGAGCCCTTCAAAGGAAAAGCGGCCGCCCCATCCACTTGCTAAACCAGTCTGAGCAGTGCTGGGCTGGCAGGCGGGAGAGGCCCCCGGCAACCCCCTGCCTGGCGCAAGCCAGGACCAGGAAGGGGCCAAGAAAACGGCTGGGGGGACCTCGGGTGACCCCGGAGCAAGGAGATGGATGAGCATCACGTCCCATGGGACGAAGGCGTCGCCACGCCATTGCATGTCCCAGGGAGGTGGGGATGCCACCAGCCAAGCGGGGACCCCCCGGCAGGCTGCAATCCCCCACGCAGCCATTGCTCATGGTGGGGGCGGGGGGGGAAGCAATTTTAGGATTGCTAAATTCTGAGCCTGGCCGTGACATAAGGAGAGGCCGGGGAAAAGGGCAGCTGGGTGATGGGGAAAGAGCCCCAAGGAGGCCCCCAGCCTCCCCAGCCGGGCGGTGCTGGAGCACAGGGAGGTATCGCACGCCCAGGCAGGGAAATTCAGCAGCTACCCCAGGCTTTCCTGGGAGAGGAGGAGGGGCGGTGAGGAAGCAGAAGGGCCTGGGGCTGAGTTGTGTTCCCGGGATAAATGGCAGGGTGGATGGAAGGGGAAGATATCTGCCTTCTTCCCCCCAGAAACCCAGCCTTGGACCTTTGCCAAACCCGGAAAACAACAAGGGGGGTTTCCCTGTGCTCCCACCCGAGCTGCTCCAGCCCCGGGCTGCAGAGATGGACCTGGGGGTCCTGCAACAGGGTCTATCTCACCAGCCCCACACAAAGCATGAATAAACCCAGAACAACGGAGACATGATATATACGGAGGGGTTTTAACTATCTGCCCTCCCCGAGCCCCACCTGGAAGAGCGATGCCCAAAAAATAAAGGCAACGGCAAGAGCTGTAGCAAAGCCCAGGCCTGCCCCAACAGCACAGGGAAACCCCTCGCAACGGCAAAGCTGTAGCAAAGCCCAGGCCTGCCCCAACAGCACAGGGAAACCCCTCCAACCCCGAGGGAAAAGCCAAGCTACCTAC